GAAGAGGCTCTCATGCGAGGTGTGAAGTTTTCTAAGACTAGATGCCTTCTCTTTATATACTGCAATAACCCGTGCATTGTGATCGGGCGCAATCAGAACATTTACCGGGAGCTGTCTGTTCAGCGAGCCCACAAGGAAGGAATCACGGTAGCACGTCGCTCCTCAGGCGGGGGGGCTGTGTATCATGATTGTGGTAATCTGTGCTTCTCCTTTCTGACCTCACGCGGTGAGTATGCGCCCGAAAAAACTATTCAGATTCTTCGGCTGGCACTTTGCCACAAGTTTGGGATAGATGCTGCGAGACTGACCACCACCAAGCGGCACGATTTATTCCTAGATGGTCTCAAGATCACTGGTTCCGCTATGCGGGTGCAGCAATCTACCGCTCTCCACCACTGTACGCTGCTCGTGAACTCAAACCTGGGGAAGGTCGGTTCCTATTTGCGTCCTGAGGGAAAGTACCTCAGCTTCGCCACGACGTCAATGACTTCTGTGCGATCTCCCGTGACGACTCTCAGCGCACGGGGTGTGGGCGATGGTATGTTGGATACATCTGATGGCCTGCGGGTTGTTGAGGAGACTGTCAGTGACTTCTTTCTCAGTTGTAGTGATGAGATAATCGGCCACAAGGCTCCATGGGAACTACAACCACAGGACTTTAAGCTGAAGTTACCTACAGCAAAGGAGGATAGGCATGTGGTGATAGACACAAGTGGCGCCGTGATCAGGGACGAGCCACTGCTCAATGCAAACGGCTATCGCCCCATACGCGGAGAATGCGGCACGTTTCGCTTTGAGTTGGACCGCCTCTTAAATGCAGACTGGCTTTTTTCAATGCCATCTTTTACTACAGAGGTTGCCATTACCATGGAAATGTACCATCAGGCGCTCAAAGTGGATCCATTATGGAGCACCTTGATAAGCCCCAAACTACGTCTTTTCAGTCTAACAGAGAGCGATTTGCTTGAGGAATTATCGGCCATTCTTTTCAAAGAAACCACAGCGGAACTTGGATCGTCTCGAACCTATGAAATGTGTTCGCTCGTGATTCAAACAGTTCTGTCGCAGCGCCTAATTAAGGGCGTTCATGTGAGGCGTGTTTGTTCATCTGTATTGTTAGGGGATGCACATAACGTACCAAGCACTAAGACAGTGTTTTTTAACGACATTGCTACGAAGGGGAGTAATGAGCAGGGAAAAGAGGACCCGAGTGAGTCCTTTGTGACATCCATTCCTTGGTTGGAGCGATTTTTACAAACCGTACTCACAGGGACGTGTTGCGACTCAGCGTTGGCCGGATTCGATGACAGTGTGACTAAGGACTCTGGTGTCGAGATGTTGCTTCAGGGACTTCGACTAGAGATGGCGTTGATTCCCGACCGAGGCCAGTTGGCTGATCTTCCGGGAGATCTCGTAGATGATGGATTACTTCTGATGGCTCGTGGAATTGTAAAGTGTTGGCGAGATCAAAATGTGTTCGGCATCTCCTTGACATGAAATTTTACGTGGAATA